ATATAGATATAGATATAGATATAGATATAGATATAGATATAGATATAGATATATAGATATAGATATAGATATAGATATAGATATATAGATATATATATATATATGCATATGTCTGCTTATATTTATTTGCTTATTTATTTATTTATTTATTTGTGTTTGTTTTAGGGTTTACTGCGAGACAAAACGCCCAACACCAAACCAATGCAACTTCCTCGTTGCAGCCGCAGCGGCGATATAATTGAATACATGTTAGTGCCTCAGTGGTGAGTCTTACTATTCGTATTTAATTAAATATATATATATATATAATATTAATACATATATATTTATATATATATTGTCATTTGAATCGTTGTAGGTGTTTATTTGTATATTTACTACTCTTACCAGTGCATGCACACTCCTCCAACTGCACAGTCTCGTGCCCTGCCGCTGGAATTGCTGCTGCTGCTGCTGCTGCTTCTGCTGCTGCTGCTTAGTTGCTGCGGACTCGTTGCTACTGCTTAGTTAGTTGCTGTTGCTACCGATTGATTTCTGCTGCTGTTGAGTAGTTTCTGCTGCTGTCGTTTAGCTGCTCCTGCTGTTGAATACTTGCTGCTGCTGTTGCTGCTGCTGCTGCTGCTGCTGCTGCTGCAGGTGGATGGACTGCAAGGAGGCGGGCCGTCTGAGTGTTGAGGCGGTGCGTAACAATGAATTGAAAATAAAACCTGAGAACCACGTTGCGACTTGGGAGTACTGGTTGACGAATGTGCAGGATTGGTGAGTGTTGTTTATAGGATTTCTTTATTTCCTTCCAACAGTAGTTAAATAATAAGGCCTTATTCGTGTCTTTTCTTGTTTTTTCTCTTTAGTAGAGCTAGCGGATGAAGGTGTTTACAATAGGAAGAATGCCGCGTTGGCGGCTGCTGCAGATTTACGCAAAAGTATATTTTATTTTTGTTGTTTGTTTACTGTTTAGAGCTTAAAAAGCTGGTGTTAGTTTGTTCTTGTTCGTATTCTCGTTGTTATTTTCGGGTGTATGTGCAGGTGTATATCGAGACAGCTATGGTGGGGCCACAGAATTCCAGCATATAAAGTGATTGAGCCGGTAATACCGGCAGAGAAATGTAATATGTCTGGGGAGGCGTGGGTGGCTGCTCGTAGCGAAGAAGAAGCGAAGGAAGTTGCATGCAAAATGTTTCAATTGAATGATAAAAACAAAGTTAAACTGCAGCAAGACGAAGATGTTCTGGATACTTGGTTCTCTTCCGGCCTATTTCCCTTCAGTGTCTTCGGTTGGCCAGAAGAAACCGAAGAATTTAAAGCATATTTCCCTACTACTCTCTTAGAAACAGGTGCGGTGAAGAATCTGCATGCAGCTGTACGTACACCTTAACTTGTTCAGCTTTCCGCAGCGTCGTTGCTTTGCAGTATATTCATTTTATTTGTTGCATTTCCCCCCTTTGTTTTGTTCTGTTTATTTTAAAATTTTCCTTTTTTGCATGCGCTGATGTAATTGATTCTGCAGGCCACGATATCTTGTTCTTCTGGGTCGCGCGTATGGTGATGCTTTCGCTGTTGCTGACGAATAAACTGCCGTTTAATACGGTGTTTCTGCATCCAATGATTCGTGATTCTCAGGGCCAGAAGATGTCTAAGTCGAAAGGAAATGTGATTGATCCTTTGGAGGTAATTAACGGCATATCTCTTGAGGGTCTAATAGCGAAGTTGCATGCAGGAAATCTGCAGCCAAAGGAGATAAAGAGATCAGAAACCGTATTAAAAAAAGAATTCAAAGATGGTATTCCCGCCTGTGGATGCGATGCTCTTCGTCTGGGTTTAATAGCCTATATGAGGCAAGGAAGAAATATTAATTTAGATTTAAACCGTGTTATAGGATACAGACAGTTTGCAAATAAGATATGGAATTGTACAAAGTTTGCTCTGGATAAGTGGGCCCTTGATATTGACGGAAAGAATACTCCTTTTATACCCAAAGGCATTCAGATAATTGCTGCAGCAAATGAACAAAACCTCCTTTCTAATGAAGCACACAACCCATCACAGCGCCCCGTAGACTTCACAGAACTTAAATGGGAAGACCAATGGATTCTTCACCGCCTCTCTGTCGCATGCGAACGAGTGAGAAGGCAAAATATAATCGTTTATATACTTTTATTAGAGGCTTTATCTATCTATCTATATCTATATCTATGTCTATATATATCTATATGTCTATATATCTATATATCTATATCTATATCTATATCTATATCTATATCTATATCTATATATATATATATATATATATATATGCATATCGCAGTGCCACAAAACGAATAGATACTATATATATCTACATATGACTTATATTTATATACACAAACACATCTATATGCATATCAAATATAAAAATAAAATAAATAAATAATTAAATATATATTATTTTGTGCGTTGTGTGGATTGCAATTAGGCGAATAGTTCGTTTGAAGGATTTGAATTTGGCGACGTAGCGAACGCTATTTACAACTTTTGGCTGTATGAATTATGCGATGTCTACTTAGAGGCAATTAAACCCCGAGTGCAGCCTTTCAGCTCTTCTTCTTCTTGTGAAAAGGCAGGAGACACAGCAGCAGCAGCAGCAGCAGCAGCAGAACGCGTACGAGACGCACGTTGCGCTCAAGAGGTGCTGTACACATGCATAGACAGAGGGCTGCGGCTGCTGCACCCTCTCTGCCCCTTCATCACTGAAGAACTTTATCAAAGACTTCCAACCTCTAAATTCAAATCCGAGTCTATCTGCATCAGCGACTACCCTCAGCCCGTACTCGCGTGGACTAATCCCACCCTAGACGTACGCTCAACACTCTTCTTCATTCATTTATATATTATATGTTCTATATAATATAATATATAATTATCTATACATAATCTTTGTATTGTATATTATTGTTGTCAGGACGCATGCATGTATATGTTATATCTATATGTATATATATGTATATATATATATATATATATATATCTAGGCTTGCTTTTGAATTACTAAGAAGACCGTTGTGCTGATATGAGGTCGGGTAATATTTAAAAATGAATCCTCGAGAAAAATAAAACATCGCTAAAAGACTTCGTCTTCACGGCTTTGCTGTAGTGACGAAGTGAAGTAGAATAAATATGCAATATATGTATATATATATATATATATATATGTATATGAAGATGTATATAATATATATATGCAGATGTATATATATATATATATATATATATATATATGCATGTTTAATATATGTTATACACACAGTATGTAAATGCGTGCCACATATATATATATATATATATATTATGTATATATGTATACTGGTTTGTTTGAATGATGAAGAGGAGTTTGATGAATATTATTAATTAATATTGTGTGTGGGTTTGATAATATGCAGACGAGCATGCAGCAGCAGCAGCAGATAGTAACTCATTTTCGCTCATTGTTAGCTGCGTTAGAAATTCCTCCGAAGGTAAAACCCAAGGGCTTCGTTTTGTTGAGAGAAGAAGCCCAGCAGCAAATTGAATTCTTAATGAGTGTAGCACCTACTATGGCGATCCTGGCGAAGTTAAAAGAAGTAAGACAATTAAAATATTATTTATTTATTCAGTTATTTTGTTGTTTGTTGTTGTGTGGTATTTGATTATTTAGTTGTTCACGCGGGGATTTGAAATCAGCAGCATTAACAGGAACTGCAACAGCAGCTAGAACAGCAACAACAACAGCATAAGCAACAGCAACAAGAGCTTGCTACAAGACTAGCAGCAACAGCAGTAGCAGCACTAACAGCAATAACAAGAGCAGCAGCAGCAGCAGAAGCAGCGAGCAACAAGAGCAGCAGCAACAGCAGCAGCACTAACAACAGCAATAACACAACAAGAGCAGCAGAAGGAATGACGAGCGTTTTGCATGGGTCCATTAGAAACACTTTAATAATAATGATAATATTAATAATAATATAAGTTGAATATATTATTTTATTTGCTTTTTTCAGATAGTCATCATAACGAGCTGCCCGCCTAGCGGATCTGTCTCTGATGTTGTTTCTTCGCAAATAACAATTTATTTGCAAATTGGAGAAGGCGTTAATATCGCACAAACGCTGGAAAAACTACGAAAAAAACAAGCAAATCTAGTCTCTAAGGTATGTGCTAAGCTGTACAGACAGCGCAGCACTTTTTTCTTTTTTCTTAAATCCATATTCTATTTATTACTTGCTGCTGCTACCGAAGCTATTTATTTATTTTCATTTATTTATTTATTTGCATTTATATATATTTATTTTATTTATATATCTATGTGTCATTTTGTTTGTATTTGATATGCCCATGCATATATTCATCTTTTCATTTACTTATTTACTTGCATATTTGTTTATTTACTTATTTATTTATTTTTATAGGTTTATTTATTTATTTATTTATTTATTTGTTCAGCTTGAAGGATACAACAAGAAGATCAACGAGCCTAACTTCGACAAAGCCCCAGAGGCAGTGCGCGTTGGGGCGTTGGAGAAGAAGAGTGAAATAGAAAAAGAATTGCAGCAGCTGGAGACAGCAATTGCAGATATAGCGGCTTTGCTTTAAACCTGTACATATATTTTAGTTATTACGCGTTTATTAATTTAATAATTAAAAAAACTTAACAGTCATTTAATATGCATGCGCTCTTCCTATGCTAAATCTACTCGCGTTTATTCTTAAATATATTCATGTATCCGTATATATGTATATGTATATAAATGTATATATATATTTTTATTAAAGATTGTTACTAAGAAAAATATATATTACATACATATATATTATTAATATAATAGTTTATATATGCATTATATACATGTGTATATGATTATATATATATATATATATATATATATATATATAATTGTCGTGTAGCATATATATATATATACATATATATATATATATGCACGTAATATATATTGTTTTGTTGGAAACAGTTTGAAGCCTTCCGACTTTAACTTCCATTTGTTAAGTCGCAGAGACACCGAGACTTGAGCAGCAGCAGGTTGCTGCTGCTGCTGCTGCTGCTGCTTATTGCTGCATTTCGTTGGAGAGCAACACGAGGCAGCAGCAGCAAGAAAGAAGAGGAATGCTGCAGCATGTTGGGGAGTACAGCAGCGGGAGGCGATTACACAACAACAAGAAACCCGTCTCAGTCATTGAACATTTGCGCAGTTAATTATTTCTTTCCCTGAAGAAAGTCTGACTGGTGTTGGAGTGTACGTGTACATACGAAGCTAGGCACTATCTTTAAAAGGTTATTCTTATTTCTATTTGATGGTATTCCTCGTTATTTATATCAATTTGAATAACAGACGCGCGAGGCGGCTGCCTGCGCTGCTCAGGCAGTCAGTCAGCCCCACGAGACCTCCGCAGCTATACCTAAGGGTATATAACCGTCTGTAAGGAGAGTTTGTTTTGCTTTTGAATAAATATTCAATTCTCTGCAAATATACTAAAAGAGAAATTAATGCATAATAGTATTCTTTAGAAAGAGTTGGTGCGCCGACCGAGCCCGAAGAAGAAGCCCCAAGCGTCGCTCTCAGTTCCCGGTCTGGAGAGGAAGAGAGAAACAAAGAAATGCAGCGCATGCAGAGAAGAATGAAGTTTGAATTGAATTAAATTCATATTTATTTTGTAAATAAACGCTATATTAGTACTTCTTTCGAAAGCAGCAGCAACGAAATGGCTGTTTTCACCATATTCTATTAAATAACTCTCTTCATCGTTTCAGCTCGACTCGACGGTGCCGTTGAGGTGTACGTACACCTCAAAATTTGTTTCTTTCTTCCGCTTTCATTCGTTCATGTTTTCGTTCAGAGTTATAAATATCGCCGCTCCCGGCCGGCGTATACTGCGGCTGGGTGTTTCCTTTCCCTTTGGGAGTATAATTAAATGCTCTTTCCCTCAACATAAATGCATGCCTTTCTACTCTAAAGTTGCAGTTTCGCGTTTCTCTCAGGCGGCCGGGTGTTGAGGCGCTGAGCAGCCGTACAGCATCATTAGGCGATGGAATTCAACTGCGAAGGCACCCATCGTTTGTTTCTTCGTGAATCGCCTTTTCGTACGTCTTTTAATTGCAACTGCAGCGCTGCGCCGCATAATGAAACTGCTCTCTTTCCGGTGTACAGACAGCCCCTTGTTGTTTCCTCCGCTTCCACTGCAGCGGGGAAACGCCGCAGGGGCTCCAAGACACCCGACGAAGGACAAACGCCAGCGGCGGTTCGGCTAAAGAAGAGCCGCCTCTGTCTCCGCAGTCAGTTGTCTATCCCTCCTACCGAAGCAAACGTTGCAAAGCCGGTTGACTTGAGCGCTGCTGCTGCACGAACAGAGCCGCAGCAGCAGCAGCAGCAGCAGCAGCCACAACAGCAACAGCAGCAGCAACAGCAACGGCAGCAGCAGCAGCAGCAACAACAACAACAGCAGCAGCAGCAGCAGATTCGGGAAGCCTCGTTGCTGACGTCAAATTGCACAGCGCCGCCTTCAGCAGCAGCAGGCAATTCATCTTCAGCGTATTTTGTTGCAAATGGATATCTTCTTCTTTCGCACTACGACAGGCTGGAACGACAGCGGCAGAGAGCAGCAGCAGCAAGGGCCCTCAGCAGCAGCACGGCTGCATCTCGCGGTGTAGCTTCTTCTGCTCTCAGCTCAACAGAGCGAATAAAGCAACAGCCTTCTCTTCATGCAGGAGGAAACGACGCCTTCAGCGGTGTGCTTGAAGGGCCGTCTGCTGCATGCATGCATGCAGATTTCAGATTGAACAGAGCACAGCCAGAACCTGCTGCTGCTACTGCTGCTGCTGCTGCTGCTGCGCGGATGCACGCATCTGAATTCGGGTGTGTAGACACCCCAGCGCATCCTCAGGAAGCAGCAGTCGGCAGTCTTTACAACCACGTAAATGCCTTCATCAGAACTATGCAGTTTTCATAAACCGATTTTTTAATGTTATATTTGCTAAGCAGCTTCTCTTCTCGCTTGATAGATATAACATGTTATACACAATATATTATATACAATATATATTATATATAAAATATACAATATATATTAATACATTAACCGCCGCTGTCTGGGCTGACAGTGCAGCGCAAGCGGGAGAATATTTGCTGCCATTGAAAGAGCTGCTTCTTTTTCTTTCGATGCTGCAGAATTTTGTAGTAACTTTCAAGCCTGCGCATCTATTGACTATATATATACATTAACTAGATATACGCATATAGATGTACCGTATATATATATACATATATATATATATATATATATATATATATTATCTACATATCCATCTATCGGTTTACAGGTGAAAAGGAATTCATTTGACGTTGTGAGGCGTAGAACAGCTAGGGGAATCGATCAAAAAATTCGGGAGAGCCCTATAGGTTTGGGGGTTTAGGGTTTAGGGTTTAGGGTTTAGGGTTTGGAAGAAACATGAATTTCGCCCTCAATGCATGCATGCTTGCATGCATGCACAAAGAAACTGAGCGTTTTAAGAGCGTCTTTGAAGGGGGGCATATACTTATTTTGTAGCTTGAATGAATTTCTAGAGAGAATTTTAATTAATGACAAAGCAGAAGATTTCTTATTTAGCAGTGCAAGCGATTGCATGTAATTATATACACATCAGTAGCGGTGTACAGTCTAGCTGCATATATACATTGTATCTAATGTGTATAACATATAGTGCATATGTTATTCGAAGTTTATATATATATATATATATTATTTCCTATGGGATAGATCGTCTCGTGGTTAAGGGTTCCGCCATACACTGCAGGGCCCAACTTGAGGGAAAAGACAGTATTTAAAAAAGTAAATACCTCCAAACACTAAAAAGACAAATTATTTTATTTAATGCATATTGTCTGTTGTAATATTGCTGGGTTTCGCTGTTTATTTCCGGTCGAGAAAAAATGAAACGAAGTGGTTGTTGAGGGCTGTTTGAATAGGTGAATCATGAAAAAGACAGAAAGAATGCATTTCTTTTAAAAAGACAAATCAAACTCACACATTTTATTAAACTATAAACAGAAAAACGAATGACAGAATTTATTTATTTATGCGGAAAGCGCCGAAGACGATAACACACTAACACCTCAGCTGGAGCCCTACGAGGCGGGTGTACAGAAGCAAGGACGGAAACATGAATTAAATCGCCCCAAATTAAAGGAGACGAAGATAAAATGTAGTAATGGCAAACAAAGCAAAATAAACAAAAAAAATTAGTGAAAAATAAAGGAGACGAAGCCTCGTCGTTGTTCCGCGCCTGCAGAAACCAGCGGAACCACGCCGGTAGATTAGAGGGGAATGCGAGGCAAATTGTAGAAAATAAATCATGAAAACGGGTTTAATTTGTTCATTTAACCATTTGAAGATGGAATATTAGTAAGATTAAGATAAAAATATCCTCAGAATATTCAGAAAAGCCCCACATAAGGCTGATGATGAATACCACTGAATTATTGCTCACTTTAGACTCCCTGGGGTATCCTTGGCTTTGTTTCATTACGTTTTATTTGGTGGAGTTGAATTTCTTTGCTTTCTTTCTTTTCACTTGTCGTTTTCTTCTTGGCGAGCCTCTCAGACGTTGGTTCTTCTCTCCGCTAGAGCCGTGTTGAGCCTTGTTCATGAAAACAACAGCAAAATAGAACGACTGCAACATCTAGCGGTGGATCAATCCTTTATCTTTAATTCTTTTGATTTTACGAAGCAGAAGCCGAGGGAAGAAGTCTCATTCTCCGTCGCTTTCTGTTCGGCTTTCTTGCGGTGGGGTGTATGCGCAGCTTGGTGATTTCTGCGTGCATTCATTTGGGTTTTTCTAGCGTTTCTGCTGCCTGAAGAGAGAAAGTAGAGTCAGGAGCGGGCGCTACTATATATTCCTTTTCTGTATCCCTTTGTTCGATACTCTATTTAAGGAGATGCGCAGCGGAACTGGAGTAACAGCTTCAGGAGGAAGAGAAAATGAGGGTGAAAGAGCTGAAGAATGCGGTGATATGGCGGTGTCATTTGCTGCATCTTCTGTACCAGTGGCAACAGCATGTGGTGGGAGCAGCAGTCTTGAGGTATGCTTGAATACAACAGGAGAAGAAGACTGTAAAAGGAGAAGAAAGCTGCGTAGTACAGGCGGTGGTGATTGCTTACGTGCTGATCTTCAGCCAACCCCATTCGGTCTTAGCCGCCATTTACTGCTCTTTATACATATTATATACGTAGCAATAACAGCAAGAGTATTGTTTGGTTGGCCGCATCTATCAAGTATGCTGCTGGAAACAAACGCTTTCTCGTGGTTATGCGACGGCGAACCTCTCTCTGAAGGCACCCGTTATATGTGCTCTCGTCAGGACTCTGCAGTGCAGTTTCTTTTTACTTTGGGTGTCGGTATATCTTTTTCTTTTTCTCTTGTAGCAGGAATACTTCTTGATTATGTGGGCCCCAAAGCAACTGCATGCAGCGGTCAGCTCTGTTCTTTCTTTGGCTGGTTCTTATTAGGGTTTGCTAATCAGCAGCGTTGGGTGTATATACCCTCCATTGTATTGATGGCATTAGGAGCCGATGCAGGCTATTTACCTTCTATGACAGTTGCACAGCTTTATCCTAGACACGAGCAGCTTATTGTAATATCTATATGTGCAGCTATGAGTCTTAGCTTCAGTGTTACTACTATTATGGAGCTTCTTCTTCGTTCTTCTTCTCTTTCTTTTCGAGCAATTTGCTGGGGCTTTGCTGCTTTAGGGCCTGGCTTATGCTGTATTGCTGCATTACTCGTATTCCCGTCTAAACCCTACAAGGCTCAAGAAGAAATAAACCAACAGCAACTCTCGAAACAACAGCATATTGCTGCTGCAGCTCCTGCTGCTGCTGCTGCTGCTGTTGCTGCTGCTGATGGTGATCTGCATGATGCTTCTGGAGAAGCGGAGGCAATCGAATTAGGCAGTTCAGCAGCAGCATCATCAGCAGCAGCAGCTGCTGCAGGGTGTGGGTCCAAGGCTCAGCAGGAAGAGCAACAGCAACAACAAGAACAAGAAGAGCAGCAGAAGCAGAAGCAGCAACAACAGCAACAGGAGGAAGAGGAGGGTGTGGATGATGAGCAGCAGATATCGGAGGTTTCTTTTATAAGTCAGCTGAAAAGCATGCACTTTATTTTGATGTGGGTATACTGGCCTTTAAATTGTTTATTCTACGGCTTTTATTTAACTTCTGCTGAAAATTGGATAGGAAAGAAAGGCAATGAGTTATTAGGTTTGCTCGGCCCAGTGTCTATGATACCGGCAGTTATTTTAGGTGTCTTTGCAGAGCGTTTAGGAGTAATGTCTTTAGTTTTATTTATAATTAGCAACGGTGTATTGATGTATGTTTCTGCTTTGCTGCCAGTATCTGCTGCTCAATATCTATCGCCTTTGTTTGCTTGTCTTTATCTATCAAACTTCAGCGGTCAAATGTATGCATATGTCAGTAATACATTTCGATCAACAGACTTCGGCAGAGTTGTCGGCTTTATTAGTATTACCGGGGGTTTGATAGGTCTTTTAAGGGGGCCTCTAAATAATAGTTTGACGTGGAACTTGTTTAAAGGGAGGCATGAATATACTTGTATTTGTATGATGGTTGTAGCTATCTTTTGCTTCTTTATTGCGTTGTTTCTTTTCTTTGTTAAGAGAAGGCAACCAAAAGCATTTATTAAACAGCAGCAAACAACAAATAAGGCTGCAGCAACTGCAGCAAATGCTGCTGCTGCTGCTGCAGCAAGTAAACTACCCACACAAAATACAGATATACCTCCTATTGAGCCGTCTGTTAACTCTGACTAAGATGCATTTCTTTCTTTTGTTATTTTCTTTGCCTTCGTCTCTTTATTCACAGTATTATGCATTACTTCTTCTTGCTCTTCTCTTTGGCTTCATTTAGATGTCTCCTGGACTCCTATTCTCTTCTCATATCGTCTGCCGTATATATATAGCTGTATATATATATGTATATATATATATATATATATATATATGCATGTATATTTTACGTATTATGTATAATTATATATTGTGTGTATAAAGACATATATGTATATATATATATATATATATATATATTATATATTATATATATATAAAGTATACAGATACATATAATATATATATATATATATTTATATATGTATATATGTATAAATGTATACTTGAGCACCTTGAGGTGTACATACACCTATGACGAGAACGCCCGCCATAGCCAAACAGGTCTTTCTTTCTTTTTTACTTTTTTATTTTTTTATTTTTTTATTTTTTAATTTAGTCCTCTGCATTGAGGAAGAGTAGCAAAAGCTCTTAGAAAACAAAACAGATCGGTGTAGGCATGCGACATGGTTGTCTTTATATGCATATATATATATATATATATATATATAATATACATATATATATATATCGATATAGATACAGATGTATAGATAGAGATATATAGATATAGATATAGGTATGTAGCTAAAGATATAGATATAGATATAGATAGATAAAGACAGAGACGGGGACACACAGCTTCATTCTCTCTTATTTAAACACTGAAATTATAAACGGGTATTTGAAGATATTATATATATATATATATGGATTATATATATATACATATATATACACATATATATATATATATATATATCTTAATAAGCAGTTTCTTGCAAGTAAAGTACTTTGCTAAAGAACAATAGAGAAGAATATTGTATAATAATAACACCATAATAATAGCAATAAGACAGAGAGATTGAAAAATAATAAAGATTAATAACAAAAACAATAATAATAATAAATAATAATAATACTATTATTGTTATTGCTATTAGTATTAGGGTGCTTTGTATGGATGGGAGGCTATTTAAAGATAATATAAAGACAGTCGTTCAAAAACTAAAATAAATAAATATTTTTGCTTGCTGCTGTAGACTAAGT